ACAGCACTAGCAGTTTTACAAAAGTCGCATGAGCTTAGCTGAAGCTTTATAATGCAATTCTGTATCTGCTTTTTGTCTGTTTGTATACAATGTCCCTGCACACAAACAAACTTTTCAACTGATAAGCTGCAACTCTCCTTCAAAGTTCAAACTGTCTCAAAACTTCTTGAGGTTTCCCAGGGGTGTGGCACTACAACTGCTTTTGAATTATTTTCGAGGTAGAAAAGAATCCTATTTAAAAAAACAACAGACAGGCCATACAATGTTAAGATTAAGGCAAAGATTAAGACAGAATTTCAAACACCACTTGCAGTTGCCAACTGAAAAAAGATTGCTGGTTTGGAGTGTTACTAAAAAGAACCAGTTTAGAGCATGCGTATGAAACCATCTTGCAACTCTTATTCATATTAACTGTAAGAGTACTAGCTATATCAAGGCAGCTTGATATTCAAACTAAACTTATCAGATGAAGTGACTGATACATGATGATTTTACCAGACACTTGCTTAAAGATGCACTAAGAGCCAATCAGAGTTTTGGTTAATATTGCAAAGCTCAGCTCTGCACTCTTCTGACACCTTCACATACAAGACAAAAGCCTTAGCTCAGCTAAGAACTATCAGTCATTTGAACCACATGCCAATGCAACTCCACAACAACCTCAGCATAAACATTCCTACACAAGAGAAGTCCAATGCAAGTCCAAAAGCAGACACTCACATCTATTGCATCTCTTTCAAATATGCGGAGCTGCAGAAACAGCTCAAGTTTGATCTTGCGTTCTTGAAAAAGTTCCTCCATCTGAGACTGGGCCTCATCCAGCTGCTGCAGAACCGTCTCTATGTGGGTGATTGAGCTGTTATGGGGGGTCTTGTTACTAGAAATGGCAGAATCCCTATACAAAGCAGAGGGAGGAGGGAAGAAAAAAGAGCATTATTGAAAAAAAAACACAATACAATTTGAACACTATACACGACCACAAAATGCAAGCCTGTTTCAGGTAAGATTAGTTCAACCCATATTACATGAAAGCTAAGTCCTTACATCTTTGTAATAAAAAATTCAAATTATGTCTTACAACTTGAAAAAGCACCAAGAAATTAGATTACTTTCATTTTTTGACCAATTCAACACGTAAAGGCATTCTGTTTACAGGAAGAGTAAGATTTAAAACCAGAAACAAATCCTTCCACTGTGAAAAGGAAGAGGTATATGATAACAACGGACTTTACTGAATCTTCTTGGCAATGAAAGAAAATCAAAATTAGACAATTAAAAAATATTACTTAAACTTCTACTTTAGTGTAAAACTCTCCAACTCAGATATGCTAATCTCCTGCAGCAAAGGGGACATGCCCCAGTGCAGCAGGGGCCCAAATTTATTTATTCAGATTGTTACTGAATGTAATGGATTGCAAACTGATGGCCTTCACTACAATAAATTTTCTTATCAGTCTGCAGAACAAATCCAAGTGTCTCTCCGTAAAAAGGCTGCTGCTCAGAACTCAAAACACTGTGGAGCTCTGCACGTCAGACTACAAAGACATATGATTGCTTCTATAGAAAAGGTAGCTTATGTAAACAAAATCTCCTTCTTGTGGAGGTAGTGTTTATAAGCTGAACTTCCTGTAAACAGAGGGTTAGAGACCATGAGTACAGCATGAAAGATCATTGTAGTCCTAATATTTACAAGTTTTATTTATAGATCGTATCTTGTACTCATCATCTCTACCCTCAAAACAGAAAGAGCCTCACAGAACATCAGATCACCAACAGAAGAAATTTAAATAAAAATCTGTTTTACCTTAATTGCTGAATAAGACCTTCACCTTCTTTTATGACACTGACTGTAAACTGCAGAGTAGTCTGTTGTTGCTGACCAAAACGTTTAATCAGGTCTTGGACAGCCTCCACAGACTCAGCATAGACATCATCAAGCAGTTCTTTCTGTAGCTCTTCAAGCCACGTCCACAGCTAAAGGAGAGGGAAAAAACAAGAGACGTAAGCCCAAAGATCAGGCAGTCACTATTCCAAATCAATCTCCCTGGACAAGAGAAAACAGACTGAAGTGGCAGGGAGAAACAGGCTCTGTTTTTCTTCATAGAAAAATCCCATCCTCATATTAATGAAAACGAGTCTTTGTTTCCAATAAGGTTTTTGCTTCTTGGAAATACCAGGAAAGCTTTATCCGTGTTGCTAAGTCACCCTTTCTTTCCCATTTTCCTTCTACAGAACTGAGCGTATCCGATTGAGCAGCACAGAGCTCATAGCGAGAATCCCATCTGCAGCTCAGTGCGAGAGTCCCTGGGAGGGAAATGCTATGGTAACACTCCCCGAGAGAAGGGAGGAAGGAAGGAAGGAAGGGAGATGTATTGTAGCCACCATCAAATTTGCACTGCCAGGCTGACACATGCACACAGACAACATAACACTTCTCACTGGCCTTCAAAAAAAGGAAGGCTATTTCAGAAAACAAAATACAGAGACAAATCAGATGTGAGAACTTATTTTTCTATCATGACAGTGTTTACCTTCTTGATTTCAATTTCACACTACTACAACAATAACAATCATAAGCAATTCCACCAGTTAATTCAACATTTTTCCTCCCTGCTTCACATGTGCATATATCCTTGCTCAAAACTGTCCATGCACTGCAGTTTACACAAAAACCCTAGGTGTATGCTAGCCAGGTATCACTGCTGGTCACCTGAACCCTACTGTGTGCTCTTTTCCACAATTTTCTGAGGGAAGCTGTTGCATCCTAAGCTCTGTGTCAAAGTTAATCATCAGCAAACCATCAGCCATTTGCAAATGATAAAAATGCTGCTTGAAGAGAGAGGGAGCATGACTGTCTCCTGCAACACTCCTGTGATCAGCACTAACAGCACAGTGGAACAGCTGCTCTCACAGGAAGCATTCAAACCCAGTCCCTCCTGTCTATTTTGCCATCCCATCCCAAATGCTGCAATTCCAAGAACGAGGATTAGAGTTTGGTTTTTATCCTGAAAGAGTAACTCTGATCTGATCTAACATATTGCCTTTTGATGACATTTCAACCTCTGCCTTTAAAAATTTTAGAGATACATTCAGCCTAATTAAAAGTTTAACATCATCACAACACAAACACTAAGCAATCCAAAGTGGTTTAATTTCAAAAAACCCAGTGTTTTCTTTACTTCTTTGCTTAACATTTTCTACAATAGTACCCATTTCACGCTGCTGTTTCATAATGTTCTGATCATAAAGGTTTCCTAACCACCAATGGAGCTATATTAACACAGAAAGTTCAGCAAAGGATTCTAGATCTTGATTAATCAGTTCCTTTGAAGCTATGTTCTAAAATCAAATGCTAGTTTTTCTATGTCATAGCCTTACATGCCTCCTGAGGTAGGTTTTGAGCAAACCGGGCTATAGGCTAAGTCTTCACAACTGGAAGAACTAATGCATTTAACCAGGCTCTTTTCTACAAATCTACAACCCCCTCCTCCCCAAACAGAACTGCCTATTCATACACACTGTTATTGTGACTTCTCATATGCTTCAGAGACAATGCCTGTCACAGATCTGAATGCAACTCCATAGCCATAAACACCACAAGCTCAAGGCACAGCAGTATTTCTTATTAAAAGAAGCACAAATCAATAGAACTTAACAAGTGGGTCAGAAGCACTTGTCAAACATTCATTCCAGCATAACCCAATGCAGCACCCAGGTTTTTTTTCCAAATGCGTACTTTGGGATGCAAATTTAATTTGGAGACAAACAAAATTTAAAAGCAAAAAGTCTGACAATACAACCTGAAAACTTTACCCATGTTTCAATGCCTGGAGGACACGTATTTACTCCTCTCTTGGTTTATGAAGTTTATGTCTGAACCATACTAATAGGGCAACAGGTCAGTGACCTTCTAAGTGTGCTGGTGCATACACACAACCAGTACATCTTGCAACTGTGCAAATACATACATTTCAGAGTAACACTTTGGTGCTCTCTGCAGATCTAATGTGCTTGGTGCTGGCTGGAAGACCTCTACACTCCACACTTACTGAGTTGCCTGTAAAAGGCCCAATTTTCATAGAAGTTCATTACAGACAAACTGGCATTAAAACCATTTTGAGTCTCTCAGACTATATCAAAGTTTTCCCCTTGGGTCCCTTTTCAAGCACCTGTACTGCAGCTCAATACAGGTCTGAGAACCACTTTGGTTTATTTCAATACATCTGCAGGTGGTGTCAGACCTGTACATACACCTCACCTCTGCATTTCTTATCAGCCACTTCTACAACTGGGTGGAGAAGAGCTGGCAGGAGCAACAAAACTTATATGCGCTGGATTGGTCACGTACTGTGCATGTGACTAATTCCCTTAAAAGCTCACCCTGGATGCTGGAGACCAAGCCAACACAGAACAAGCAGACCTCTCCCTCTGCATAGCCAGTTCAAGGCAACACCACCTGCCTTGAGCAGAAAGACACAGGCACCAGCACAACAAAGCGTTAGGCTGACTGGCTTAGTGCCTGGTCAGCACGGCGTGACTAGGAACATGGCATCTTGCCCCCAAGGTACCAAGGGCTCAAAAATAGACTGTGTTTGCCTAGTTCATGAGCTGAATTGCCCACTGCTTGAGAAGGAAAAACATTTTATGAATGTGCAGAAAGAGAAGCAGACTAATTAGTATGCATTACTTGCCTAGCAGTGATTCATACACTGTTGAAAATAGAACAATTTAAGCCATTTCTGAAGTGACTAAACAGCTCTGCGAAACTTCCATAGCAAAAGTTACTCTAATACATTTCCAAATTAGCTTTTTACACTTTCCCACCAACTAAGTTTCTGACAAACAGCTTCCCCTCAAAATAATCTTGGTGCTTATATACAAAAGTTATAATAAAGCCACCACAGATGAACAACACTGTCAGGTTATTAAATTCATGCAATGTACTGAGAGGAGCTTAATTCTTAATAGATGGCAATAGCCAGCTCATTTCC